AAAAAAAAAAAAAAAAAAAAAGAACCATCTTTATGATTGTGCTCACTAAAGTAAAATAAATTTAATTGGAATTCCTGAGGCACGGGTTGCAATTCAAACCATGCAAAAATAATTTTTTAAATTTCTGTCCTGGGTGTTAAAAATAAAAATTAAAAAAAAAGTCAAGACTAAAAAACTGACTCTATCACTTTATAATCATGAAAAATCTATTTGTGGGATCAGGGAAGGGTACCCAGGGGAATGTAACTATATTTGTTATATTTGATTTCTTAAACTGGTTGTTACATATATAGGGATTCATTATATTATTATTTATACTTTTGTGTATATTTAAAATACTTCATAATTTAAAAGTATATACTTGTGGAAGATTTGAAGAAAGGTTTAAGAAATCTCAATTCAAAAGACTTGATTAGTTTAAAAAACGGCAACCTGCCATTATTAAGATAGTTGTCTCTCTGTAAAAGAAACAAGTTAGAACCTAATGAACTATGGCTTTGCAGCCGGCAAGCAAGCACGTCTCTGCCCAATAGTTTGAGTAAAGATTCTAGGCACAGACTCTGCATATTTTTATCTCAGAAAAGCAACTTGTTTTTTCAGTGATTGTCTTTGAAAGTATGGTGTACATGTCAAATTGATGATATGAAAATGTCTCCTGTAATATGTAATTTGAGTTGCAGGAGGATTAAGAGAATAATGAAACTGTGGTTTCACAATCTTTTCAAGTTTTTCTGACTTTTGAAAGTAAACTAGACAAAACCACACAATTTTATTTTGTGTGCCCTGATTAGCAATCATCAGGCAAAAAGGACCTGGGTCTGGGGAGAAGGGGATTGAACGGCTCTTTAAAGCGATCTTTCACTAGAGAAAAAGTCCATTTTGGTAGTCATGTTTGAATATCAGAATAAAACATCAATATGTCTAATATGAAAAGTGGGACAGTATAAAAAATGTTGTATTCTAGAGACAACCACGTTTGCCTCCACCATGTCCAGGAATTATGGAAAAGGGAAATCTTAAGATGATACTGTGGAATCATAATGGGCTTTTCAAACATACCCCCAAAATGCTTTTTCCAGCATATCCCATTTGTAATTTCTTTATAAAAAGATTGAAATTTGGATCTCTTTCACTAATGTCTATTTTTAAATGAGCCCTGTCCACTGGTCACTACGGATTTTGATTTGGATGGTTACAAATTTGGGCTTGTTTTAAGCTATGTAATTTACAGCTAAAATTCTTTAGAGCCTAATACATAAATTATGTATTTTTCCTCCGCAAGGGCCATGACCCATTTAGAGCAACAGAAAGATATACTCTTCAATACTCAAAGAAAGAATGGCTGTCCTTTATGATCACAGGCAATGTGGATATGATAGGGTGGAGACACTTCAAGCCTAAAAGCACCTGTGAGCTGGCAGGCTCACCCAGGAAAATCTGTGTGACAGCAAACACCACCCTAAAAAAAGCCACTCAACCAGATAAAAAGTGAGACAAACACAGGGATTAAAGTTTACAGGAATGCAGAAGTGAATGGGATGGAGCATAATCCGTGCAAAAATGTGGAAGTCCTTGGGAACAAAGCCCCATCAAGGTCCTACATAATTAAATGTGAAATGTGTAGTTGGTAAGAACATTAAAAAAAAATCTCAGAATCTATGTGTTTCTACAGAAAGGTTACTACTACATGAAGAACAGAGACCATCCCATAGCTTGAATGCCTTTCTTCTATTTTCCTATTGCTTTTCTTATTATTATTACTTTTTTTTTTTTTTGGTGTTTCATTTTTTTCAGTGCCACCAACTAACCAGCTGAAGGGGCCTCTGAACTTAAAGGTCGGTGCTAGCCTTGGCGGTCAGCACTCTGATGCGGGACGAGTTGCAGGTCTTGCAGAGGATGTGTCCATCCAAAGGGTAGCAGCCTTGGTTATCCCCTTCAGACAGGAGACCGCCACAATCCTAGGAAAATAAAGACAGATGGAAATAACGTAAGTGAAAATGTAAACGACATATGTGAAGATCAAATTCTTCAGCTTTCCATTCAAGGCCTTCAGAATGCGGCCTCTTATCTCTCCACTTCACATACCACCACGCCCCTCCAATCCATCCCCGGTATGCAGCATAGTAAATCTTAAAAAAAACTGAATTATATATTAAAGACATATATGAAAACAGGGTAAAAGTCACTTCATAGGAAATACAATTTCAGGAGGAGAAGAATCCAAGCCTCTGGGATCTCAAATGGTAGCTTTGTTACCTAACCCAAATGGCAATGTCAAGAACAGGAGAAAATAAAACAGATCTCTAACCATGAATTCATTATTACCCTTTATCATCAGCGTAAGGATCTCTCAAAAGAAATATACAGGTGCAGGGGCACAATTTGTTGGCATTTCTGAGCAAAGGCAAAGTCGTGCAGTGGCTCCTGCTAAGCAGAAGGGCCACCAATGGGCTCTGCATACTTACCCCAGTTGTAGCAAAAATAAAATCCTAAGGTTTGTGGAGAACAATGACTTCTTGTGCTTCCTAAGGAGGTATCACGGTGCGGAGGAATGAGTGCTGCACCAGGAGATAGCCCCTAGCTCTGACACTGTCTGTGTCACTGCAGGTAAGGCTGATTGCCACTCTGAGACTAATTCCTGCGTTTGCTACCTTACCAAGCCGTGGGGAAGATCAAAGAGGATAATGGATGTGAATGTACTTTGAAAAAAAAATGCCAAGAGCTACATAACTGTAACAAATTATATTATTGTTGGTACCACCTTTGAGGGTTCCTTTTGGAAAGTGTTAAATAATAGTTAAATGTTGGCCCTTACTTTTGGAGAAAATGGAAGTTTCTTTAGAAAAAAAATGTAGCACTTCCTCTGGAGGTGTGTGTCCTTGCTACCTTTCGCAGACGCTCTTTAAAGGCCACGATTGCTGCACGCCTCACCCCGCTGCCCACCACGACAGCAAAGAGGTCACTGGGGCTTGTGCCTGTGTTTGACGAATAATGAGATTTAAGTTCAAAAAGGGTGTCGCCTAGAAGGCAATGGCAGCAGGAGTTGGGCTCCCCAGGAAGGTTGGCTTTACCAAAATGAACAAGCAGTGCTGGAGGCATTCAAGAAACGGATAGTGGAACCCAACCAAGTCTTTTTGCCATCATAAAAAGAAAGGAGGACATTTCATAAATGACATGATTTAAAGCATTGAATGAGGTAACATCTATAGTCATCTGGCACTCTAAAGAGCCCAGAGGCGACCACAGTGCTGGAACCATCGATGCCTTGAATCTTAGATCCAAACGGAGTCATATGTCACATCCATGCAACCTCCTCATTTTATAAATATTTTTATTTGTTTATATCTTTATTGATTTCAGAGACAGAGGAGGAGGGGGAGAGAGAGAGAGAGAGAGAGAGAGAGAGAAAGAAACATCAATGGTGAGAGTCGCCATTGATCGGCTGCCTCCTGCACGTCCTCAACTGGGGATCGAGCCCACAACCTGGGCATGTGCCCTGACCGGGAATTGAACCGTGATCTCCTGGATCCTAGGTCAACACTCAACCCCTGAGCCACACCCGGCTGGGCCAACCTCCTCATTTTAGAGAGGGGGCGGTGAGGAGCAGAGAGGGAAGTGATTTGTCCACTGTGATACAGTGACTAGAACAATGGTCTACTCTCTTCGAATTCACTGTTTCTCTCATTCTACAGTATTGTTTCTAAATAAATTATCAGCATTTTAAAGTAAACTGAACTTGTACAGCTATCATTTAATCTGGAAGGAGGAAAGGTACATTTCATGCAACTCTTAGCATAAACACAAAACCACTTAAAAGTCAAAGCCTATTGGCATGTGTGTAAGAAATGCTAGGAAGCTTTTCTTCTTTGAGCTCGGTGTCCCCATCTGTAAAACGATCTCTAAATTATCCATTAGCTCTTCCACGCTTATGGTTTAGGTCAATTTTAAAGGTGATGGCTGGATATTGTTGTTCGTTTTTAGCTATAAAACCTTTAGTTATAAAACTTATAAAAGCTGTTGTTTTTATTATCTTTTCTCATGTTAGGCAACTCGAGTTCTAGGACAAAACAAAGCACATTGCATAAGACAGGTGGCCAGTTATAGCTCAGGCAGTGAAAGGGGTTAATGCAGCCCCAGAGAGCTGGCTGGGCCTGCCAAGATCTCCTTAGTGGGACTAGACGAGCTAACCTCAGGAAGATGCGGTAATGGGGAAGCACATACTACCCCTCAGACAGAAGAGGGAGCTGGGTCGCGGCTGGTGTGGCTCAGTTGGTTGGGTGTCGTCCTGTACACCAAAAGGCTGCAGGCTTCATTTCCCATCGGGCACATGCCTGGGTTGCGGGCTCGATCCCCGGTGGGCGTCATGCAGGAGGCAACCGCTCGATGTTCTGCTCTCATATCAATGTTTCTCTCTCTTCCTCTCCCTTTCTCTCTGTCTAAATATCAATAAACTAAAACAAGAAGAAGCGGGGGAGCTGAAAACTGCTATACTCCCAGGGAGAGTTAGTAGGAAACAGGAAACATGCTTCAGAAGAGGAGCCTGGGTAACTCATAGAACCAGAACGAGAAAGTGTTTTAAATTCATTTTCTGAACCTGGTGCCCTTTTGAGACCTGGATCATTGGGGAAACACTTGCTGCCTTTTGCTTTATAAATGACTACATTACATGTCCCTTGACAAGAAACCCTCCTCGTCACCTCCAGCCTGGATTACAGCTGTTGTATATATATGCCCATGGCATCTTGTGCATGTTTCCTGTAGCCCTAGCAGTCACCGGGCCTCCTGCGTGAAGTGCCCAGTCTGCGGTGGCAAACCTAACAAATCTCCATGACTTTGAATGTGAAGTGCCAACCCCCGTGAAAGGAATAAATGCCTGTCCTTCTCAGTGGGGGGCAAAGGCATCTCTGCCCCACAGGAGTCTCAGAGATGAAGCAAAAGATTCAGTATAGTAATAACAGCATTAATAATAACAGCAGGACTTTCCCCACTAACTTAGCACTTTATGACTCACAGTGTCCTTTAATATGCAATTTTGCATTGTAGTCACATAGGTGGATAAGTGACTTATCCAACATCACTAGCCTGAAATGCCCATGTCAGATCTAAAGCCCAGTCCTGTGAACACAGGCACTCAGGGCTCTCCCAGATTTAACAGTTGCCGTGTTTATGAAAAGCTGGCTCTAATGGGCCTTTCAATGCTTGCCGTGCAGGGTTAGGAGTGCAGACCACAGACCTCACACCGGTAGCAGTGAACATGGAAATCGCGGTCCAGAGCCACAATCCGGACGGTCTCCTCCTGGCCCGGGGCGGGCATGATAGGCTCCTTGCACACAGAACACCGGGGGGCAAATTTCCTGAAAACGAAGAGACAGGTCGGGTTAGATACTGAGCATAGGCAATGGCAAAGAAGTGAGACGCGAAGATTAAATAAAAGAGTAAAAGGTGAAAGCCGAGAGGACATCTGATCTACTATTCTGTGACCTTGAGCGAGTCATTTTCCTTCTCTAGGTAGGCTTCCTCAACTCTGACATAAGGGAGTTACACTCGGTGACAGGAGAGGTCCTTGTAGATCATAGATATTATGATCCTGGGTGAGGTGAGGGAGGTGAGAGGGTGAACTGCTTGTGCATGAGAACACCTGGGAGCTGTGTGACATGGAATTCACTGGTGATAGATTCCAAGCACAAACCCTGGGCCTGGGGAGGATCACCAGAGGGGAGAACATAAGTCCTGGAGGTCCCTACTTGTCTCTGCTATTTGCTTCTAGAGTTTTGTATGTGTTCCCCAGGGCTGACCTGGCTGTTCTGAGCTTGGGAACTTTGCCTCATTCCCACTCATTAGAGCCTCTTTCTTTGAAATGTGTCTTGAATTCTAGGAATTAAACCTCAAATAACTATTTTTCAAAATAGCAGAGGTTAGTGAGTTTAAATACTCTTTACATCAAACTTACTAAGGCCAAGTCTGCACTTGTACATTTTGTTTGTGTTAAACTTTTGTTTGAAAAAAAGAAAGTTAAAAAGGTGTCAAGTTCTTTATTCTTTAAAGGATTTTAGCAGTTCCGAAGGGTAAGTGTATAGGGACACATATATACTTATACCTACATACACATATACGTATGATTTTGAGGTTAACTGTTGGTGAAGAATTTTAATATTTCTTAATTGCTTAATATCCCTTACTATAACCAGTAGCCCTAACATTTTTTTCTCATAACAGATTAATAAGATGCAAATATAGACCATATAGCCATCTGTACCTTCTGGGGAGTAGGGGTGGCACTTGTGAAGGTATGAGGTGAGAGATGATTTGAAATGGGCAGAGACAAGAAGTGAAAAGATTCAAAAAGAGAAAAAGACTGTGCAACTCCATTTACTCATGGTAATGGTTTTAAGACTGATGATATTAAAATTTACTTATTTGTGGTGAGACTTAAAAAGAGATAATGATAGTAATCTAATACTTTGTAGAGCACTTTATGGTTATCAAAGCATTTTTACGTATATCGTATTCTCTATGTACATATTAATTTTCCTGGCAGCACCCAAAAGGCATCTGTATGGCTGCAGTCTAAATAAATATGAATTAAGCAGCAGATCAATTGATTGCTATGAAAGAAAAATTAAAAGGACCATGGTACAACTGCGGGAGTAATCAGAGTTGTTATAATTGGTATTTTATGCAAGAAGTTCATTCTCAATGGTATAAAAATATTGCTTTGGACTATCTGATTATTTTTTAATCTGGGTCACCAGTAGTGAAATGAGCAGGCTTCTAGAATCAACTGCAAAATTTCCTTTCCCAGAACCCATTGTGACTGTGAATTCTGTGAGGTCAGAAATATGTCTTGCCTATCACTGTATCCATGAGCCTCACTCGGTTTCCCCAAGTAGGATTATTTACTCCTCAGGATATTTCATTGCATATACTTATTATAGTACGAATTATTTGCATATCTCTGGAGATCACTAAACTGTGACTTTCCATAAGACAAGACTTGTTCCATCTCTGAGTCCCCAAAGACAACCGCTGTGACTGGTGCAGGGAGCAGAAATTCCAGCTATCGCTAATGAAATGAAGTATCTGCCATATTTCTCTATAAAAAAATGTTACTTGGGTTGTTATGTTCCATCTCAAGGACCTTCCTCCTTGGAAAGGCATAAACTGTATTCTTGCTGAGTAATGACTGCTTCCTACTAACTGGCCTCATTTCCATGATGAGAATAAAGTAAAGAGACGGGAAGTGGTTTCTGCAGTCCCTAGTGTTCCTTGGCCAGAGTTTCAAGGATTGTTTAGAATCCCAGGTGGTCGATTTCAAGGTCCAGCTCACTAAGCAGACAATAATCATAATAAAAACACTTTGATAACACTTTTGATGGCTAAAATAGCTACCATTTATTGAGTGCTTATTATGTGCCAAGCCCTGTTAAGCACTTGACCTTATTTTCTACCGACAGCAGTGTTATGAGGAGCTACTTTCATCATTTCTACTTTACAGCCATGAGAGCCAAGGCTGGGGAGGGATGGTCTTAATCATCTTGTGTCCTGGCACATTTCTGGCAATCAACAAATGGATGCTGACAAAACAAGTAAATGCCTCAGTGTAATATGCATGATAAGAAAGCACAGATAGTGGAAGAAAGGCTCAACACAATGAAAGGGTCAGTTAATAAGCCTGCTTCCCTGGGCTTACTGTGCTGGCACTGGGAACACAGACATGAACTAGGACACCCGCAATCAGGCTGGTGAGGGAGTTCTATCTAGTTCTGCATTTGTTCTATTTATATATACATATCCTACTATATTGCAAAAATCATTTAAGGTGGCTACTGTAAGATTTTGTGTGTGTGTATGTGCGTGCATGTGTATTTTTTATTACTATTCAGACTATATTGAGTGCTATCTATAGCCAGAAGGGAATGTAAATTGAAACATGAGGATAGGGAGGGATTGAGATCAGATAAAGTTTCTTAGGTAGATGGCCATTGACTTGGGCTTTGAAAGATGGCCATGTAGGTGAAATGGGAAAGTGTGTGTATGTGTGCGTGTGCGTGTGCTTGAGTGTGTGTTGAGGTGAGATACAGTCTGGGACTGAATTTGAACAGTTCTCTGAAATGACTCATATATGGGAAAGAGTTCCTACCTAAGAGGCTGGAGGACTTGAGCCAACCTTGACTGAGGGTGGTTATGTATGGGATGACCCATTAACAAGGCCTCAAAAATAGTATTTCAGAAGCTTATTACCCAAAGTGGAATCCAAGACCACCTGAGTGCTTGTCAGAAATGCAGAGCCTTAGGGCCCACCCTAGACCTACTCAATTATAATCTGCAGTTCAGTAAGATCCCTAAGTGACCGGTAAGCACACTGACGTCTGGGAAGCACTGGTTTAAAAGACAGGACTGGAAGCAGGCGAGATAAATGCTTTTCGCATGGGTCTCCTGTGTCTCATGGTAACTCTCTCTCCCAGACTGCTCTAGTAATAGCCAAGCAAATCTTCCTTAAATGTACAGAGCCTTTCTTAACCCCATGTCCTTACTCATTGCCTGGGTTGTCCCTTTTGCCAGGAATCTCTTTGTTTCTCACTTAAAACACTTGAAATTCTGCTTCCAGAACATGCTCAGAGCCCAGGGCCAGGGAATCTCTTCTGACTCCGGCTCAAGCCTCTGCCTGAGCCTATCTCCTGGTTGTGAGCCCTTCCTGCCCCATATCACAGATATTCTGCACCCTCCTCTGACAAGCTCCTTGCTGACAGAGGCTTTTCCCTATGCATCTGTGCAATTTCAACCTCTGCAGTTTCTCTCCTTGTATCTCTCTCCTTTAGCACTTAGTACAGTCATGAGCACACAGAAACCTCTTTGTAGATGATGTTGAGATGAATTAAAATACATTTCCTAAAAGCGCACAAGGGGAGACCTATTCAGAATGACCAAGAACAAGTCCCCAAAACACTGTTTGCAGAAGGAGGCTGTACTCCCCTAAAACTTCCCTCTCAGCCTTGCAGTGCCCACTCTGGGTTGGACTTTTTAGCTGCCTTGTGTTAGTACTTTCAAGGCTCAGAAACAAGAGCTCTGTAAAATTTTCTCATATTTTTCTTTGAGAAATGGGGGAAAATACACAAAAAACTTTCCTCCTTAAATACTTGCTAATCATACAGACAACATTATTTTAAAAAAATAATTTGTGTTTTCAAACATCACTGAATATTGGTGGTGGAGGGGAGACAGTTGGGGGCTTGAGATTATTTTTCTTTTTAGTTGCTCAAGTCTGCTTTCCTGGGGTGTTCAGACTTACACACTTATGTCACCAGTCATAAGTCTCTAATTATGCTCCCCACTTCCAGAAATGAAAGATAAATGCATAGATATAAACTTACATTGGTCAGAGTTGATTTCCTGTTTTAATCGAGGGTGTAATATATCATTCTTTTTCAGCAACAGAAACCTGTGTGCTCTGATTATATCTACCAGTCTTTCCTGGATTAGGGTAAGTCTAAGAAAGGAGAGAAGCAGTGACAGAAACATACTCCCCATTGGTATTTTTTCAGCTCCCTTAAATAGATGCAGGTTTTCTTTTTTCATGTGTAATTAGGAGCTAAAAATATCAATAACATTGAAGTACAATTTATGCTGTGACTGCCCTTTCAAAGTGAGCCCTTCCATGTCTAATTCAGGGGGAAAATTTCTGCCTCTGGGGTTTATTAATTCATTCAGCCTCATGTCTTTTGGTGAGGTTTTCACTTTCTTTGCAACTTGGAAAGTGGTCAGGAAATTCATTTTTAAACTATGAGTCTCAGGTCCCCCAAATTGCTTGTGGCAAGTACCTCCTGGTTGTTGACAATCAACAGAGCAGTGAAAATTAACCCACAAGACTGCACATCTGGAGGCCCCAGAACAGATACTGGAACTGCTGAGCCGTATAACCTTCATCTCTCTCTCAGCCTCAGACTGTCTGGAAAGCCACTGCCCAGCAAACACAGTCTAGAAAACCTCTGTGTCTACTGTCTACAAGTCACATCTGAGCTTTCATACAGCTCCTAAAAATAAGTTAACAAATGTGACCAACCAATTAACCAACTAACAAAGTGGTCATATAAAAATAAGCAAAACCCCAAACCATACACTTTTCATGAAAACCCCAGCTATAATAGAGGAAAGAGGGACCTTCAATGAAAGAATTGAGGAAGTGGGGACATATTTTTCCAGGCCCATGAGTAAGTGGTCTACTTGAGGCTCTACTTTCTTAATCTCTTCAAAAGACTGCACACCACCGCATTCATTGATTTTATCAGAAAATATCCTGGGAAAGAGAAGACCTGGGTGGGAGAAGAGGTGAGGGGAGGGCACAGATGTGTTGACAATAGTGTTAAGCGGCCTCTGAATGAGAGGCTTGAGTTAGTAAAGGCTGAACCGTTCTGTGTCTGCCACCCAGAACTTCCTATCTGTAGTGTGGCAGATGGAGAGAGGACACTGGGCTCTAGAGAGAATCCTGGGCTGCTACAGAAGGAGAGCGTTAAGACAGGGTCTGGTCTAATGACCAAACCAAAGAGCTCAGAGAAATTGAGCAATTTGTTCAAAGTCACACATCTCGTTCACGTTGAGCCAGGGACGGCTAACCCAGGATCCTGCCTCTCTCCAATACAAATACCCTGTATGAGTGAACTTTCTCGCAATTAGAGCCACACAAAGATGCCAGGAACAAGCCCCAGAGAAGCAGTGAAGCGGAGGCCAGGCTGGCAAGACCTCCTGGACCACCTGATACCGATTCCTGCACTGGATCAGGGGAACAGGCAAATTCTTTTTAAGGTCCCATCAAATCCTGCCATCCCATAGCTCTGAGAGAGAAGATTTTGTGGCCCAGGTGCCAGGCAGTGAGGAGAGACTCCAGGACGGGCAGGCTGGGGTGCGAGAGCGGGCTGCCTACTTGTGGAAGTCCTCGATGCAGTGGATGAGGCCACCGGCGTCCACGGTGAACGGGATCCCATCCAGGCTGCGGTGGCACATCACACAGGTGAAGCAGTGAGGGTGGTAGGCCTTCCCGGTGGCGCGGAGGATCCGCTCCATGATGGGCTTGGAGCACACGCTGCACTGCTCCAGGGTGTTCTGGAGGGAAGAAGAAACATCTCAGCGACAGGCCGGGCCTAGAGCGCCCCCTTCCGCAGTAACTCACAGCCTGACAAGCGCCCTCACAGAGCACGCTGCCTCAGGGGCCCATCGCACTCAGCATTTTTATAATCCTCATTATCCAGGGAAGGAAACGCAATCGGACGCATCAAGTGGTTTTTCTCAGGCCACCCAGGTAATAGGTGGCAAATGGCAAATTTCAAACACGTCTTCTGACTCTTACCCTTGCTCCTCTCCACTGGGGCCAGGGTGATGGCGAACGTTTCTGTAAAGGCCCGTAGAGTAAATATCTCTGGCTTTATGCAACAGCACGATTTTGCCAATGTAGCGCAGAGGCAGCCATAGATAGTATGCAAGTAAACGGGCATGGGGTTTTTTAATAAAACTTTAAGTTCGAAAGCAGGTGGTGAGCTAGATTTAGCCCATGCTGTACTGTTGACCCCTGAACTATCCAACCCAGGTTCTCCACTGGAAAAAAGCTTCGCTATCACTTCTAAAATATGACTCATCATCAAAGACCTAGTGGGGTCACCAAGGACCCTAACATTTTGGAGAGTGGTCTGTCTGATAACTGAGACTCCGAGAGCATGCTCACTGCAGACCCCAACCACAGCTCAGCACAACCAGTGAGGCTTCTGGTAACGTAAACTTTAAGCCTTGATTCAAACACCACCTCCAAGTTTAGCATTGTAAATTCTCAAAGTAAATGTTGAACCTAGAGGCGTTCCAGTCTTGAGAAGTTAGTTAAGAAAGTTAATTTATCTGGCTGAGCTTCAACGATATGCTGAGCTTTAAAAATACGTATTTCCCTTAAAGAGGATACTGTTTATTGACAGAAAGACTAATAAAATTTTCTGTGAGCTTTTCATCCATCTCTAGACTCATGCTCTCCTACCAGCCAACCATGTCTCACAGGTAACATGTTATATCTCAACTGAGATGTCTGGGCTGACTCACTGAGCTTACAATCTAGAATAAACCGGGATGGGGATCTGATTAGAAAGATACAGAACTGGAAGGGATGTGGAAATTAAGGAGTAATTGCCCTCTTACTATGAGAACTTTTAAATGGTCATTAGGTAAGAAGTGCCTAAGGGTGGAAAACAAGTGTGTTGATGTCTCAACTACGGCAGTGGTCTCTGACAGGCTTCCCTATTTGCATGTCTCTTCTTCTGTAAGACTTGGCTATCTCCAAAGTGACTTACAGTTTCCTTTCCAAACCACAGATAAGACCAAATAATTTTCCTGTTAACAAAAAATTTACATGGCTCCACAATGTAAAAAGAACTAGTTCCATATGTGACATTCAGCCTCCCTTCCTAGGCTGGCCCCCTAATGTCTCAGATGGCTCACACACGTTCAACCCTATGAGAAACTTCCATACTCCTGTGCATTGGCGCATGCCTGCAATTAATTACAATTTGCCATTTTGACCTTTCAAAGTATGGCCCAGTGAGCTTTCCTTGATGTCCTCATTTGGAATAAACTGCTTCTTCTCTCCCCTTCCCAAGCTTGCTAACTTACGGTGTTCACTGTATTAACATTTGTACATGTCTATTTCCTCAATAGACTGCAATTTCTTTTAGGGCTGGGGCTATGTCTTTAGAATATATTTTTCTGTCCCATACTACACCTAGTATACTACTTGAAATAAAATAAGACTAGGATGAATGTGTACTAAAAAAATGAATGAAGGAATATTGTTGACATCCCACCTCGCAGCACACTGCTGGCATGACTCTGACTCAGGAATCTATCCCATGATGAATTGGTAAATCCATCACCATCCTCTCTTCAAAACTGTGGTTGCTGGGGGTTTTGAAATTGCTTAGTATGCCTCTGGTCACAGCCTAAACTCATGAAAACTATTAACCCACATGCCCCTCCCCCCATTTTAAAGTGGTGAAATTAAATAGCAGAAAAACATAAGATGAGAGTCTGGAGACAAGGATGGTCTGGACAATGAAGGCCCTGCTACTTTTCTTCTCTGGTCATCTGAGCTAATGTGGCTGGAAACCATCTTCCCAGGACTTGTGTTTTGTTCCTCTGTGGGTTTTAACTTTTTTTTTTTTTTAAGGTAGGCTGAAATGGAGTTGAACAAACCAGAAAATGCTTGACCAGAAAATGTTTTTGTTTGCACTGAGGCTTGGCTGCAAGCTTCAGCCCATTTACTTAAAACCATCAATCAGCAACATATAAGGTTGAGTCAGGTTCTAGGGAAATTCTTCATGGGCTATGGAAGCGCTGTATAAAGGACAGGTAATCTGAACATTTCTTCTACAAAGGCAAAACTGTAAAATATGCCCAAAGTGAGACTATTGTGAAATGCTTACAAATCAGAAAACAAAGATTCCAAGAATGCAGCTGACTGCCACCTTATGCTAGCAAACGGTGGAAAAGGACGGATTACGCTTGTCTAGCCAGCTCCCTCTACTGTACTCTTCTCCTCTCAGTCTTCAATTGGTCCACGAGGGCTCTCAGACATATCTTCTATCAGAGAAAGGATAGACCCTTACAGTGTCAGAGAGCAGGACACTGAGCACCCTTCTAGCCCAGGCCTCTGATTTCACAGGTACGAAAACAGACCTGGAGCACTGATGCAGCTGGGCCTGGGTCATGGAGTTCAATAGGGACAGAGGTGGAACTGGTATCACAGTTTCTTGACTCCCAGTAATTCAGAGAGGGATCTGATGAATTCCTTATGTAGCCATAGAGAGGGACAGTTGTTAGACAAAAGCTATGAGTTACCCTTCTGGCTTTGTCAACATGCAGTGTACGACCTTGGGTAAATAATTTCTTCTCTCTAGACCCCAGTTTTCTTGTCTGTAAAACAATGATTAACTCTAACTGCAATTTTATTACTCTGTGATACCTCAGTGTTAACAATAAGAAAAGGCTAATGTTTGCATTAACAGATACATATTAGAAACAATGGATAACCCCTCATCTGAGATTTGAAGGGAGGGTTCATGTGATAGAATCCTGGACTGTGCCACCTTCACTGTCTTTCACTTGGAATTCCAGAAATTGCTGTTAGTATAATTTCAAGCACATAGATGACCTTTGTGTCTTCTTGTAGAAAGTTATTTTAAAACCAAATGAAAAGATGCAGTTTTCATATTTTCCAAAGTAGGTTAAAATAAAAATGATTTTTAAAGAATATAAAACAAAAGAAAGTCTTCAAGGATGTCTCTAAGTCTACCCACTCAAATCACACTTGTATGTGAGGTAGGGGTGCTGTGACTGATTTACAGGGGAGGTAGGAAGGAAGAGCCTATTCCAGCCTAGGAACCTTCAAATGCAGCAGAGTGCTTCATGAGCTGGCTCTGGATCAGCCTCTCCTGCTCGCCTATGGACCCTGCCTTCCAACTGTCACTGAGCCTTCTGCTACATCTTTCATAAGCCACCTTCTTCCACAAGCCCAGAGTACTTCGCATCACCCTTTTTTTTTTGCCTATAGACTACCTACCCATTCTTCAAAGTTAGGCTCAAATGTTACCTCTTCTGCAAAACCTTCCCTAATTCTCCCTATGCTACACTCCAAGCAAAATAAGTCACTTATTCCACCCTCATAGACTGTGCAATGCTTCTATGAAACTGAATATAATGGACTTGATTTAATGGTTTCTGTCAACTTCCATGGCCAAACTAAGCCCACACCTTTCTCCCCCATGAAGCCACAGTTATAGGCTGAGTTTCCTAGGAAACATTCTCAAACATAGATTTGCACATGGGAAGTTCCTGAAGAGTGTCTTTGAGATCAACGCCTGTGGCAGAGTGCAGGAAGTTCCTGAGTAGAGGAGTTGAACGATGATGCAGTTACAACAAAGGCTCCTGATGGTTCATGGAATAGTCTGGAGCTGGAATGGCCCTGCAGAGTTGTTCTTCCTTGAAACTAGGGGATAGGACCCTTACATCACTATATCTACCAGTCAATGGATACAGACTGCTGGCAAGAGGGAGGAGTGATTTGGGGTGAAGAAGAGTTCCCTTCAGTTGAGGGTAATTACCAGAGAAAGACTCAGCTATGAACCATCAACTGACAACAGTCCCAACAGCTGGAGGAATGAGAGCCTCCCTGAAGAGGGATCTGGACAGTATTACAGCATCCACAACAGCAACCATCCCTGTCCAGGGCCTGCATAGTCCATGCACACAGTAGGCACGGAATACCTTATAGTTTACCCTGAATTGAGAGTCTAAATTTTATTCTTCTTCTTCTTTTTTTAAATCTAAGCATTGTTTGAAGATTTTGAAAGCATTTTTATAAATTGTTTTGGGCAGCCACTTCAATGAAAGTATAGTTAAAAGGAAAAGCTGTTATAGAGTAGCAGAAAAAAGGTCAAACAAGAAATTAGCTGCTACAAGGCAGTTTATAAACTTTTCTGACATGATGGCAATACAACTGTGATTAAAAACAAAAAAAGTTAAGTAAAAATAAAAATGGAATCACACAAAAAATCTTGTACATAAAACTCCCCAAAACAACTGTTTTTAGAGATACAATCTGGTTGTATCTCTTCTATCCTTGGATATTGTATAAATAACTTCTCTAATTCACAGGCAGAAGAGCTGGAAGAATCATCTGAATATAAATGAAGCATACAGGTATCATAAGCATTAGCTACCAGTTAGATTATAAAGAAAATTACATTTCTGTAACTTATGTATTGAATAGGTATACATGTGTTCAATGTTAGGCATTTTATATAAAGAGACATAAGTATTTGAAGATTCAGAAAACTATAAAATGTTGCCATTTAGAAATGTTAAATTTTTCATTTCATAAAATTAAAATGTAACCTTATATTCAATCTTCTTTTTTTTTTTTTAAAGTTAGGAAAGCAATATTGAAACAGGAAAGACACTTGGAAAGATATGGGTGACATCTCACATTCTAGATACAGTTTTGGTTTTGTTGGGACAAGAATAAAAAGAAAAAAAGAAAAAAAAGCAGAGTTAGAAAATACTAAACCTTT